TCAACACCCGAATTAAACGTACGCGTGATAACTTGAAGTCTTATTACACCCCAAGTCAGCGTCCAAGTAGTCAAAATGGCAATGACACAGTGAGGCGTTGGACTGCGCCGGTTATCAACCAATCTGAAGTCGTCGGCCTAAAAGAAGATGCGGCGAAAGTAAGGGGCTGGATTCTTGGTCAGAATGAACCGCTGCTGCATCTTGCAATTGTGGGGCTGGGGGGTTTGGGTAAAACCACCCTTGCAAAAATGATCTACAGAGATGTGAACCTCAAGAGACGCTTCCAGGAGAAAATTTGGGTTTCATTTTCTCAACCTGTCAAAGAGGACGAAATCATGAAAAGCATGTTGAAGCAACTCAATGCAGATGGCAGCGGATCCCCTAAAGGCGACATGCTGAGTACAATTCATGGATTGCTTTCAGACAAAGCATACCTGATTGTCCTGGATGATGTTTGGAGCACTGATGATGGTTGGTGGGAACGGATCTCTGGTGGGCTACCCGTGAAAGAGGGCCACAACAGCTGCATTATCATCACATCAAGAATAAAGACGGTTGTCAAGAATATGGGAGTTCAGGATGCACAAATTCATCAACCCAGATATCTTAATGATGAAGAGAGCTGGAAATTGTTTTGCAAAGTTGCACGCGTGTCTGAAGTTGATGAACAAAACACCAAGTTAGTTGAAGAAGGAAAAGAAATTGTTAAAAAATGTGGGGGCCTTCCCCTAGCAATCAAGACCGTCGGTGGTTTACTCTCATCAGAGGAGAGGTCTTCCATTAAGTGGAGGAGGATCCGCGAGACCTTTCATGAAAAGTTAACGAGTATGGGAGATAATTGTTCGGAGGGTAATGGGCATGTGATTGCCTCTCTGCAGCTAAGCTATGATGAGCTCCCTGCTTTCTTGAAGCCATGCATATTGTGCTTCTTAATTTATCCTGAGAATTATGAAGTGGATGCTGACCAACTGATTCGCTTGTGGGTAGGAGAAGGATTTGTCAGTGGCAATAGCACAGAAACTGTGACAGAATCAGCTCTCAAGTGTTTGTCAGAGCTTATCAGTCGGTGCCTGGTTGAAGTAGCTCAGCGAAGAAATTATGATGGAAGCGTCTATACCTGCAAGGTGCATGATATGGTTCGAGATTTGACAATTAAAATAGCAAGAGAAGAAGATTTCTGCAGCTTCGATGCAAATAGAAATCATATTGCTGATGTAGGCTCCCGTCGACTTGGAGTCACCCAAGAGACGAAGTTATCTGCCCTTCGAGGAAACTCAAAGCTCAGGGCATTACTTCTAACCACAACCCATTATATCGGTTTCAATAGGAAAACAGAGTTGGCAAAAATCAAGTCTCTCAGGGTATTGGACCTCTCACATGCCAGACTAGACTACGTTTTTGTGAAGGATCTTTGGGACTGGATCACTTCCCTTAAACGCCTAGTTTGTTTGAGCCTCAGAGATGTTGCACAATTGCTTGAAGTCCCAAACTCAATCGGCAAATTATTGGGCCTCCAAGTGCTGATTCTGGGAGAATGTAAGGATCTCAAAAAGCTTCCCACATCAATCATTAACCTTCCAAGATTAATTATCTTGGATGTTGGTAATTGCCCAAGTCTTCGGTGTCTACCACAAGGGTTTTCGAAACTTTCCAAACTCCAGGAGCTGTATGGATTTAAGATAGCTGGTACTGGGAAAGCTTCTGGTTCCCACCTTGCAGAGCTGAAGGCTGTGACTGAACTTCGTGTCCTGCAGATAGACATAACTGAAGACAGCACTATTGAGGATCAGGAATTGGAGATCTTAGCACAGCTAGAGAAACTAAAGATTTTGTCGATCAATGCAGGTGATTGCAAAGATAAGAACATTTTAAGCAAGTTGAATAAATTGTCACCCCCTTCTTCCATTGAGGAACTGTATCTGAAGCATTATCTTGGAGAAACTACGCCAGCATGGATTAATCCCAGGTCACTTCAACAACTGCAGTATCTTTCTGTGGAGAACTCAGGAATAGAAAAGATGAACCAAGAATTTTGGGGAGATGAAGAATATAAATGGGATGTCAAAGGGTTGTGTTTAAAGTTCTGCCAAAGACTTGAGGTGTCATGGGAAGAATTGCAATCAGTAATGCCTGAGATCAGACACCTGGAGGTCTGCCAATGCAACTTGCTGGTTTCATTTCCTTGTTAAGTCTGTGGGGAGCTATGCAGGGACTAAAAGAAAAAAAGTTTTGCTTCGGAAGATGTTTTCACTTTTCAGTCAAGAAGATTGAAAGCAGCTAGATGACATGGTCCGATCTTGGGAAAGCATTTTCAAAGTTTGAAGTGATCTGTATCCCAGTTCTTGGACAATATGTTGTGGCATTTGTTAGTGATTTGAAGTGTATTTGTATTTGCTGAACTTTACTGATTTACTAATTGTTACTTTTTTCTCTTCCATGTTGATCATGTAAGCCTAAGTTGGAGTTGGTGCTTTCAAATTATGATTTTTCCTTTCCATGATGATGTGGTTTTAATCATTACTATAATAAGTGACAATCCAACTTCAGCAGCGACAGAAATAAACTAAATGATGGCCCATTTCATTGGTTTTAGAATTTCACGTTTTGGAAAGGAACAGAAATATATTTTGGTCTATGAGAAGGCTCCAAGTCTTACATAGAGGAGGGGAAATGGGAGAGTTCAAGAGTGAACATCATTGTCACCTGACTAATATCTCATCAGTTAAACTCTGGATCTTAGGGAAGGAAAAAAAAAAAGAGAGAGACAAACATCTCATCAGTTAAAATCTAGTTACGGATTAAAAACTAATCACTCGAGTATTCACGGGCATTTCAATTTGGAAAGCCAAATACAATTTAAAAGGCCATGAAGGGTGCATCTTGATTTATTTAACCCTGTAATTGTGATTAATTTCTACTCCTTCCCCCGCCGGGGACAATTAACAATACAGCAGGACACACACAACCAACAGTGAACTGCAAGATTCTTCTGAAAATTGCTACATTCATTCTGCTGCTAAAATCCCAGATAAAAGCACATTGAAAAGCAAGAATTTTCCACTAGTATTCTCTTCATTTGTCTCAGGAAATGAGAAATTCTTCTTGCTAACATTGGTGGCATTGTCCCTTCCCCTTGTGCATGTCTGTGGTTCTTGCAATTGTGGCAATCATGGTAAACCTGCATGAAGACACCAACAACAATTCATCTCCGTTGATCCAAGCCTCCAAAAGAGGCCTCTCATTGAATGCTTCCAAAGCTTCAAGAGCTCATTGTTTCAATGTCATGGCCACCCTTCTCCAAATCTCCACTGAGCTCTTTGTTTTCCCTGAATTCACCATTTTTGCAATCCAAGATTCCTCCATTTCCAATATTTCAGGCCATCTACCTCCTTGGGCAATGAAGCAACTCCTCCAGTGCCACTCTTCCCCTGTAAAGCTTCCCATACAAGAATTATTCAAGAAACCCGAAGACAGTTGCTTCAGTACTCTACTTCACGATAAGATCATCAAGATTACAAAGAAGGATGAAGAAAAGCATGAAATTGAGGTCAATGATGTGATGATTTCTCATCCTGATGTGTTTCTTGGAGGCCCCTTTTCAGTGCATGGTGTTCTCGGATCATTCTCATCATTAGACCTTCGTGAGCATATTGATCAAGATTGGAACTTTATTCACTCCCCCACTTGTGGAAATTTTGATCAGAGTCATCGTTTGAACGGTACTAATGAGATAAAGGACTTTGTTCGATGGCCAAGTATAATTCAGTTTCTCAGTGCTAACGGATTTGTCCAATTTGCGAAAGGATTGCGGTCTGTTGTTGATGGGGTTGTTCAAGAGTATGCTGATTTGAGCTCCGTCACCATCTTAGCTCCACCATATTTCACGTTCATAGCACTCTCAGCACTACTGCTAGATAGAGTTGTGAGCTTACATGTATTGCCGCAGAGGTTTACGTAAAAAGAATAGGCCTTATTGCCTGAAAAATCGACTCTCAAAACTCTGTTATCTGATGAAAGTCTTGAAGTTACTATGAACAATTCTGCAAGATCACTGGCAATTGATGGGGTAGAGATCACAGAAGCAGAGATTTTCTCATCCAGAGAAGTTGTGATCCACGGAATCTCTAGAGCTCTTGGTATGGAGAAGATTTCTGATACATCAAGATAGCTTTTGGGAAATTTTCCAGGATCATAGCATTCAAAAGTTGCAACTTTTGCTTTCTCAGATTGATTTAGTACTTATTTAACATTAGTGCTATTACTTTTCTTTTTTCTGTAGCAAGCCTTTTCTTTCTTTCTTTCTTTCTTTTTTTTGGCTTGAACCAGGACTCAGAAGTTTGTGTATTTTGCATTCTTTTCTGTGTCAATTGCTGTTTCCTCTCACAGATTACCTGCTTAACTTTTGCTAGATTAGATATTTAGCAAATCCCTACGGTATTAACAGATGAAGAAGGTCTACGTGAAAAGTGGGAAAAAGATGCTTTGAAGTCTTATTGCAGTTCCCATTTTGGTCCTAGATTTTTAGCAAGCACCCAAACAGGTTCGTGAAAAGCTAGAATTGACCAATGCGGAATCTTGAAATGATGATTTTACGAAGCATTAGCCTAATCCGGAATGCTATGTAGTAGAAGACAGGTGTTCCCATTTTTGAGTATTAAGCTTTCTGAACAAGACTAGAATCTAGGAGTTTTTTTTTGACCAAATATAAGGAAGCAATTGCTTGGATTTGGAGAGATAAGTTAAGAATATCATAAGTTGGTTTTATGCTGATAACTTAGCAAAGATGATTATAAACTCTCACTTGTCCTATCTGAAGTGCTAAGTTGTTTCGTTATCATGTAGCACACCTGGAGCAGAATACAGTCGACCATATATTACAGTGCCTTAATAGTCCAAAAGTTCTCATTTCATAATTGTAAAAGTACAGCTTTGCTTTTGCACGTAATAATTGAAGACTACGCAGCACTTGTCATTTTCTTGTTCCTCTCGCGAAAATTCCTGGAGAGACCTGCACCATGGAAAGCAAGGGACTAGTGATAGTGGAAGACATGCTTTATTCTTGATGGAAGGAAAAGCATCTCGCAGAGAAAAGAAATTTGGAGCAAGGGATTGATCCGCTTGACTCCTTCCACGTGAAGTTCATGTCACTGATTAAAAAGATTAATAGCTGCTCAAACAACATATCAATGTCTGTTAATTTAACCACATTGCCAACAGAATCTTCCCACTAAGACTTCAGCATTATAAAGGTTACAACAACCTTCATCCAGGTTTAGTTTCAAAGCCCTCAGTACCGGCTCAGTTGGCAAAACAGCTCATGTCACTCAGATAGCTTAAATTCAAAGCTAATGATCCCATAAACATCTTCAATCATTGCACAGCACTGCATCGTGGTCCTTCGGATAAACACCTGAGGAACTACTCGGAGGAGCTACTGATCTTTTCTGAGGTAGAATTTGTGCTACGCTTGCAGTTCTTGCTCCTCGTGCTTATTTCATCAGATGTTTGTTCTTTCTACATGATCCCTTTCTGTAACTTAGTGTCAGGTCCTGGACTGGAATATGTTGCTACTGTTTTGCATATGATGTACCTTCTTTGAGGGAAGGGAAGGGTATAGCAGCTTTCCAGCATGATCATAAGTGACGATTTCACTTACTGAACTTTCGGTATCCACCAAGACATACGTTGTCCAAGCGTCCCTGCTTACTCTTATTAGGCAAAATATTCTTACTTCTGTGGGAAAAACAGAGTCAGGTAACGTTTTTAGACTAATTCCATACAGGTTTAGTCTCAGTGCCCTCTGTATGTAGGCTTTGTTGACACAAGAGCCCAGATCACTCAGATAGCTTGATTTCAAAGCTAATGATCCAATAAACATCTTCAATCATCGCATAGCACTGCACTTGTGATCCTTTGGATAACCAACTGAAGAACTACTCACAAGAGCAACTGGTGTTTTCTGAAGTGAGTTTGCGCTATGCTTGCAGTTCTTTCTCCTTGTGATTATTTCATCAGATGTTTGTTCTTTCTACATGATACCTTTCTACATCTCACTGTCAGGTCCTGGACTGGAATATGCTTCTAGTGTTTTGCGGATGATCTACCTTCTTTGATGGAAAAAGGGGCGTAGCAGCTTTCCAGCATGATCGTAAGCGAAGATTTCGTTTACTGAACTTCCGGTGTCCACAGATATACATTGTCCAACTGTCTCCACTTCTGAGGCCAGAATTGCTGTCAACTGATATATACCTTTCTTCTGTGGGAAAACAACTGAAAGTCAGGTAACATCTTTAGTATAATTTCTCAACATTGTAATTTGATTTCGGAAGCATAAAATGAAGTCAATGGTACAGAACATGAACTAAAGTAGTCAATTGGGTTTATTTTCTGAGATTTAATTATTTTTGTTAAGCAAGGGATGGCCGAGACTGTCCTCTATGAAATTTCTAGACCAGACAGAAACTATACATGAATATCTAAAGATGAACACATACTGTATATTCTAGGGTAATGGGGAAGTGTATTGGAGCCACCTTTTTGTGATGGTGTTCATAACTTTTTATTTACCCAACAGTCTTACTAAATGGTCCTTCTGCTCAAGTTTTCTAGTGTCTCACTGTTTTGTGTTCATTTTTGACCTGTATACACTTATAATATTTGAACGGAAGAGAGCTGGTAACATCCAGATTCCATGTCCAAATATTGAATATGTTTGTTGAAGTAAACAAGATTTTTCAAGCTTCCCTGTAACAGCAAGATTTTTTTGTCCTTGGGAATAAAACCAAGGAAAACTAGTTGAGTAACCAGATAGCCAAAAATCAGAAAATCCAAAGTTTTAACCTTTGAGGCTTCATGACTATACCCAGGCCACGAGTAGTAAATATCAGGAGATGCTTAGGGTAGTGCTTTTCATAACTTTAGAAACCATTGTTAGACAAATACATCACAACTTTCACCAAGACTTCAAGTTGATAACTCTCACCACATCAGTCTCAACCTTGATCTGTTTTACTACATGCTCTGAATGAATTGTGTTTGACAAATCAGCAAGATAAGCTTATAATACGTTCTTTAGCATGCATAGAATCTGTACACTTCGAATCCCAACATGCATGACTTAGTGTACTGATGAAAATAAATATCCCCTAAACAAACAACTCAGCAAAGTACCAAACAAAGGATAGATAAGGCCTTATTAAGGCCTACTTATTGAGGTTGGCTTGGATATTGTTCAAGATTATAAGAAATCATAGTAAATGCTTGTCTACTTTTCTGCATCCTTTTGTAAATTTAATTCAACTTATTTCCAAGTATTTGCCTTCATGAATTCCTCAGACATGACGTTGCCAAGTGCACTAGCTGGTGCCATTGCTCAAGAACTTGTGAAAGATTTGAGTACAGAAATCCAGGATCAAAGCAAATATGCAATTCAATTTCCAGCTCAGTTCTCTGAGTTGAGAGAACAGCTGAAATTTATGCAATCATTTGTCGCTGATGCAAGCAAGCTCAAAGACAAGCAAGAAACAGTCAAGATGACCTTGCAAGAACTTCAGAAACTGATCTACGAAGCAGATGATCTGGTTGTTGATTGCCAGATTCGAGAAGACTACACGGAAACAAAGGCTAGTTCTTTCAGCCTTTGTCTTTCTGAGATGGCCTTTCGCTATAAAACAGGGAAAAAGCTAACAGAAATCAACAGCCACATTAAAAGAATGCGGGAAAATTTGAACTCTTATTACACTCCCATTGCAAAGCATTCAGATAGTGAGAGCAAAAATGGCAGAAAGACACTTTGGAGTTCCCCTGTTTTTGACCAATCTGAAGTCGTTGGGCTAACAGAAAATGTGGCAACAATAAGGGACTGGATTCTTGGTCATAATGAACCATTGCTTCGCCTTGCAATCGTGGGGCTGGGGGGTTTGGGTAAAACGACCCTAGCAAAGATGATCTATAGAGATGTGAATCTCACGAAACGCTTCCAAGAGAAAATTTGGGTCTCAGTTTCTCAACCAGTCAATGAGACCGAAATCATGAAAAGCATGCTGAGGCAACTCAAATCTGATGACAGCGGATCCTCTAAAGGTGACATGCTGAGTAGAATCAGTCAATTGCTTTCAGAAAAAACCTACCTGATTGTTCTAGATGATGTCTGGAGCATTGAAGATGGTTGGTGGGAACGGATCTCCAGTGGGCTACCCAAGACAGAGGGCCTCAACAACTGCATTATAATCACATCAAGGATCAAGAAAGTTGTCAAGAAAATGGGAGTTCGGGATGCCCAAATTCATCGACCCAGACTTCTTAATGATGAAGAGAGCTGGAAATTATTCTGCAAGGTTGCACTGATCTCTAAAGAAGATGAAGAAAATACTAAGTTAATTGAAGAAGGAAAAGAGATTGTTCAAAAGTGTGGGGGCCTTCCCCTGGCAATCAAGACCATTGGTGGTTTACTCTCATCAGAAGCCAAGTGTTATAGTGAATGGACGAGGATTCACAAGAACTTCCATGAAAAGTTGACAAGTGCAGAAGGCAGTCGTGCTGGTGGTAATCAGCATGTGATTGCCTCTCTGCAGCTTAGCTATGATGAGCTCCCTCCTCGCTTAAAGCAATGCATATTGTGCTTCTCGATTTATCCAGAAGATCATGAAGTTGATGTTGACCAACTGATTCGCTGGTGGGAAGGAGAAGGATTTGTCCGTTGTAGGAGCACAGAAGC